CCTGGCTCACAGCTACTGACCTCGGTCAGCGGCCTCTGGCTGGGGGACAAAGCCAGACTGCTGTCGATTTTTTTCTCTTGAGATAAGGTTTGCTATCTTGCCCCAAGGCTGCTCTGGAAATTCTGGGCTCAAGGGAACCTCCTGCTTCAGCCTCCCAAGTAGCTGGGACACAGGCTAACATCATGGCATCTGGCTACTACTTGTTTCGGTACAGTCAGGAGTTCAGCATAAGCCCACATGGTGGTGCACACATGTAATCCCAGCAGCCAGGGGGGCTAAGGCAGGGGGCCTGAAAGTTCAAGCCCAGCCTATGCCACTTAATGACTTAGTGAGACCCTGATCAAGATGAAAAATAAAAAAGGCCTGAGGGTGTGGCTCAGTACAAAGGCTTCGGATTTCATCTCCAATATTTGAATAAAATAAAATCATATAAAATAAAATCTCAGGATATTCCTTACATTTTCAAGTGGTTTGGAAAAATCAAAAGAAGAATAATATTTTAGGACATGTAAAAATTGCTTTTAATTCAAATTGCAATGTCTACAAAGAAAATTTTTTGTGTATTATTTTGGAGATAGAGTTACATTATATAGCCTAGGATGACCTTGAACTCGGGCAACCTTCCTGCTTCAGCCTCCTGGAGTGTTAGTATTATACGTGTTCACCTCCACTCCCATGTTGTTCACTGTCTTAATAATGGTTTTTTCATGCATGCATTTATTTATGCATACAGTCTTTTTTCCCATAATTCACCTGCACACAGCCCGGTCACCAAGACATCATCTGTGATCACCAGTTGCCATGGTGGCACCAGGCGCTGGGAAGCCAGCTCTCTCCTCTGGTGCCTGATCTTTCCAAGGTCTCGGCAGTTCTTCCTTATGGGCTGGTTGGCCTTCCTGTAAGGAGGCACATTTAGGGTTCTCTGTGTTCTCCTCCCCGCATTTATATCGGATCTTCCCTTTGGCTGGAACTGGCCTTTTCAGAGGTTTAAATAAACCTATCAGTACTTTTAAAAATTGGAGGGTTTCCGTTGGCAACCAATTGATTTAGCTGAACTCAACGGAGCAGAGTTGGCGCCCCCTGGTGGCCGTTGTCAGCTGCGATTTCAATGTGCAGGGCGAGCTGGGGGTCCCCGCAGGGAGCAGCTCCAGGTGCATCCTGGTAGGCGGCCCTCGCTGTCCTTGGGAGTCCATCACTTGTGAGGAACATAGCAGTGACTGGAAAACTCTGAAGCTCAAAGGGTACCAATCCTTCCAGGCGTGGTGGCGCATGCCTGCAATCCCAGCCCTCTGGGAGGCCAAGGAGAGCGAATTAGCAAGACCCTGTCCCAAAAAGTAAAGGTTGGGAATGTAGCTCGGTGCAAAGGTCCTGGGCTCAGTCCCAGCGCTGGGGGACGAAGAGTACCGATCTTTGCAAGTAGCCTGTGCAGAGGGTCTTCATGTTCTGAATCCTGGGCCAGAGTTGATTTTTCAGAAGAGAAAACAGGCCCTAGACCCACACAGCACAGAAGTTTGTTTAGGACGCAGGTTCGGCTGGTGACAGAGCGCAGTTCTTCCAGGAGACACAGCGAAGAGCGACTCCATCGCGCAGGGCCGGCGATCCTACTAGACCGCCTAGGACGCAGGTCTCGCCGCTGGGAGAAGCGTGGGTCCTCTCACCTGGAAGGAGATTTCTGGGAATCAGGGGGCACTGGCTCTTTGCGGTTGTGAAAGGAGCCGAAACACTCAGAAATCTTCCTTATGTAGCTTGACGGAGTGAAAGGCGTTAGCGCAGGGACGGAGCGGCTTGCTCCTGCCTCCGGCCCGCCGGCGCAGCCAGGAAGGCCTCTGCGGGCATTTGTCCCCCAGCGCTTCTTTTTGGGGGTGCGGGCATGGAATCCAGGGCCTTGCACTTGCTAGGCAGGCGCTCTACCATCAGGCCGCACCCCAGCCCCCAGAATGTCCTGATGATAGACTTTTACAGCAAACCTACATTTTCTATAAAAGCTCAGACCCAGGCATTTCAGGCCCAGCATGTTTTGCGGCCTGCACTGCGCCTGCTCAGCTGTATTCAGAGGCGAGGAAGCAGCCAGGGACAACATCCGGGGCAGGGTCCCTTCCCACCGTGCTTTGCGTGCACACAGCCCCCGGCTCCCGGCCGTGGACAGGAGTGCTTAGACCCCCGCTGGGCATCGCAGCAGGTCCGGGGTGTGTCCACGGGAGCAGCCGCATTTGCTATTTGCCTCCTGCCCGTCTCATGAGTGTGAAGCAGAACGCATGGAAAAGGAGACCTCCCTCAGAAAATGCAGAACTCTTTCCCAGCCTGACCCGATCGCGGTGAAGACCGCTGCTTATGTCAACACTCAGTCGCTCTGTTTTCTCCCTATGAAGTTGACACAGTGTTTCTCTAATTTATCTCCACGAACTAATTTGCTATAGAAGATGTATTTAGTGTTGCTGAGACTCCTGAGGAGACTCTTCCTCCAATAGTTTTGGTCTTTTGGGTGTATGTGTGTGTCTTTTTGAGACAGGGTCTTGCTATGCAATTCAGACTGGCCTTGAACTCATTTCGTAGTCCAGGATAACCTCAGACTTGAAGCAATCCTCCTGCCTCAGCCTCCTGAGTGATGTGATCACAGGTGTGTGCCACCGTGGCCAGCCTTTAGTCCATGTTTTTTGTTTGTTTCCTGCATTTTCTTTGTTTGTTTTGAGACAGGGTCCTGCTGTGTAGTCCAGGTTGTCCTCAAACTCACAGTGATTCTCTTGCCTCAGCCTCCTGAGAGCTGGGATTACGGGTGTGTACCACCAAGCCCAGTCTACACTCCCTATTCTTAAATAATTTTCGTGGTGCTGAGACATAGACACACAGTCACAGTAAAGTCAGATGCCCATGGGGAGGTTACTTATTAATACCTATGTGAGAATTGGTCAGGCATGTGGCAAAAATAATGGAACCTGGGTATGTTCTTCTGCTACCAAAATAAATTCCAGTTGGTTCAAATACTTAAGTGTAGGCATAAGGTATGCATAGTGTGAAAATATGGGGTGAGTATATATTATTTTATAATCTGGGTGTTGAAAGAGTCCCTTTAGAGGCCTCAGAAGCCCCAAAGGAGAGGATCTCATGAAAACAAAAGGCATCTTTGTGATGGAATCAGCGGCACATGCAATCAGAGCGGGGTGGTTATTCTGAGTGTACGTGGTGTGCAGGGAGGTATGCAGCTAACAAAACTGAGCAGAAAATAACAGTAAGAGAAAAGTGGTCACAGCTCACAGAGTACAACTTGCCCACTGATTTTCAGGTCCTGCACAGATGCTAAGAGAACAGCCTGAAACCAGCTGAAACCCATTCCCGAGGCCGGGTTAGTGTCGCCTCGGCTTCTTGGATCCTTTGCCCTTGGACCTGACCCAATCTCGGCACTGATCCAGTCACCGCTCCTGTGCTTTCTGAAACCCCTTGCACAGACTCTGAGGGTGGTGGGGCTGAGTGCTGTTCCCTTAGGCAGCGGGTCCGGCTGAGGCCTGAGCAAAGGCTGCCCCGAACAGGCTGGCCGAAGCTATCCTGACAACCAGTCCTGCGGGAGAGGATGCTGCACCAGTGAGGGTCCCAGAGCCCAGCAGGACTCGGGTGCCCACCTGGCCATGAGCCCAGGGAACGCCAGGGGCTTGCAGATGGTGACGGTCGTGGATGTCCTGGTCCATGAGCGACCAGGCAGAGGAGAAGGCTGAGGGCAGGAGGAGCAGAGCCGGCCGGGATGGACAGGCCGGTGTCCAGGGCGCAAGGCCCCCAGAGCTCAGTCAGTCATAGCAAGTAGATTTACTTGGGAGGGTTCTTGATGTTTTTAGCTTGAGGCATTGGAGGTTGAACCCAAGGCCTTCGCACTGAACAACGGGGCCATTTTTTTTTCTTTTTTAAAACAAGGTCTCACTATGTAGTTCAGCTGGCTTTGAACTTACTATATAGGCCTTGAACTCAGGGGTTATCCTCTTACCTCACTCTCCCATGTGCTGGAATTATAATTATAGATGCTTCACCATGTCTGGCTTCATTCAAAACCTTTCTTAAACAAAAATAGAATTAATTTTTTTTTTTTTTTACATACCTGAGGGATTGCTAAATTGTCAGGGCTGGCTCAAATTTGTGATCCTCCTGCCTCAGCCTCCAGATGCTGGGAAGAACACTCATTATATCAAGTGATTGGCCTTGAATTTGTAGCAATCATCCTGCCTCAGCCTCCCAAGTTCAGGGATTACAGGCATGTGGCACCACACCCAGCTCTACATAAACTCTTATCCGTGCTTCAAAACCCACCCCAAGCTCAACTCCCTGTAAAACCTTCCATGATCAATGCTCTCTGAGCAGATTTGGAGCATTCATGGCTATCAAACTGCTGCTGAACGAAATAACTGTTTACACATCTGTGGAGCTCCATCACGCTCTGGGTGAAAACCACATGCCCTGCGGCCACCTTAGTATCATCATTCCCCGTGGGTCCAGTCGGTGCTCACAGAGTAGAGCAACCTCACCTTGTGAACCTTGCCCAGCGCAAGGTGCCTGGCTTCTCAGCCCGGACTCCCTGGCCTTGAGTCCTGCTAGGTGGTGGCCTGTGAATCTGAACCCATCCTTGGCCTCTCCGGGGTTGTTTCCTTCTCTCTTCCGTCCTAACAGGAGTTGATCATAGAGCTGTGATGAGGAGCTTAGACTGAAGCACACAGTACACGCGCAGGGTTTTAATGACTTTCTACTGAGCAATCAGAGCCTGGACATAGATGCGTGGCACAGACAAAAGGAACGCAGAGGAAATAACCGAGAAGAAGGGACGCTGAGGAAATGAGACCTTCTGACAGGCCAGGGCCGCCCCGTGTGCACCGAGCCGCACGCACGCTCGCGGCCTCCCATCCGCCTGCAGGGTGCCGACAGGCGCTGCGGGAGACGTCTATGCGCCTACAGCCCAGGATCACCGTTTCTGGCGTGGGGCAGCGCTGCTGTTTAGGAGATCTCCAAGGCAACCCCAACTTCTCTTAGAAAGACCACAGGAGCACGGAGGACCAAGAAGGGAAGGAGGAGGGCCACAGCCTCGCTGTCCCTGGTGGAGCTGATGTCCGGGCCTCCCCGCATCCCGGCCCCGCCCTAGGGCCCGGGAGAAACACTGCTGCCTCCTTAGAGGACGAGTTCTGGACACGGGCTGGAGCAGACCTCAGATCGGCGCCCTCTGTCCCCGGGCAGCCAAATGTCTCCTGGGAGGCGTAGGTCACGTACATGAAGCCGTCCTCATCCTTGTGGTCCCTGTAGATCTCTGCCATGGTCACACTCGTGCTCACCAGGGCCTGGTTGTTCACCAGCAAGTAGAAGGCTTCCGTGGCCCTCAGGGCCATGCGGCTCCTGGCCGGGGAAGAGGGCGGGGAGGGGCCAGCGTGGGAGGCAGCCTGGAAACGTGCAGGACCAGGGTGCTCCCGGGACGGAAGAGCGCCTGGCTCCTCCCCAGGACCAGGGCTGGGCCCAGAGCAGGCAGCCTCACTGTGTGAGAGGGAACTCGCCAGCACGGGGACGCAGGGCGAAGCAGCCATGGTTACCGGGAAGTGAAAAGCTTCGCCAGAGACGCACAGGCGGTGACAAACTGTGGACCTCACCTGCGCCCCGAGAGTGCCCCGTGCGCACCCCCACGGCCCCTGGCCCCGCAGGGTGGCGGAAGGTTGGTGAGACAGGCGTTACACGTCCAGGCCACCCGAGTTCTGACTCACCCAGGCGTGGGTGGCACGGAGACAATACAGATGCAGAAAGGAGGGCTCAGTCTCTCCCGGAGGGAGGCGAGAACGCATCTCTTTGCTGTCCCTGGAGAAGCAGGCACAGCCCGGCACACTACCCACCGCCTGCAGCCCTCAGGTGGCCAAGTCTGGGAGTGGCGGCCGGTGGAGCAGCTGGAACCAGACTCACTTCCCCCATAGATGCTCCCGAGCCAGCCCCATATGGGAGCCCTACACAGGCACCGCTGTCTCTGGGAGCCGACGACTGCTCTGCAAAGGGCACAGGGTGAAGCTGGGGATGGCAGTGCTGCCACCAGCTGGGAAAGAAGCTGGTTTCCTTTATTTTGTTCTGCTGCACTCGGGATGGAACCCAGGGTCTCCTGTGTGCTAGGCAATCCTCCTGCTTCAGCCTCCCAAGTGCTAAGATTACAGGCAGATATCACCAAACTTGGCTCTCACTTGTGTAAAATAAAGTAACTTTTCTGGGCGTGGTGGCATATACCTGTAATTCCAGCACCCAGGAGGCCGAGGCAGGAGGATCACCATGAGTTCCAGGGAAGTCTGGGCTACGTAGTGAGTTTCAGCCCAGGCGGAAGTACATAGTGAGACCTTACCCCCAAAACAAAACAAAATAATAAAAAAACAGAGTAAAATAAAGTAGTTATAAGAGCATCTTTTCGGGGGACTACAGAATCTTAAAATGAAACACACATACACACATGCAAACACACGCCTGCCTCTTCCTAAGGCTTCCACTGCCCAAACGAAAGATGCAGTAGAATAGAACAAGCCCAAGGCTGCCCCCCCCCACGTGCCTGTTCCCCCCGTCACCTACTGGATGATGCCCAGGAACTGGGTCATGGTCAGCTCCTGCGGGACCAGGAACTTGGTTTTGTCCAGCCGCGGCGGGTCACGCTCTAGTATCACCTGTCAAGAGTGGCAGCCCTTCAGGCCAGCTGCCATGGGACCTGGGGGACCTGCACAGCCCGGCCACTTCTGGCCTCGGCTCTTTCAAGGATGGGGTCGCAGCTTTCTAGGGGCACCACGGTCTTACCGGGACCTTGTTTGGGAGCGTTGCCCGGAGTCCAGCCACTTCCTCTTGTCTGGCTGCTGCGAAGGGTTCAAGTAGGAGAAAGTGAGCGGCCGGGCAGAGCACAGTCCTCTCCTCCTCTTTCTCGGGGGACCCTGCAGCCCCCAGAGCTTTACCGAAACTCTTCCTCTGCTTGAAAGGCTTCAGGCTGCTCAGAGTTGCGGGTGGAGACGACCTTGCACTCCCAGCTAGGTCTGTGTCTGTCTTTAGGACGGAAAAAAGAAATCCCACAGCCAGGAGCAAATTTGATCCTCCAGCTACTCCCAGGCTGTGTGCGGGAGTCCAGGGGCCCTCGAGTAGGGCCAAGTCACATCAGGCTGCCCCTCCCCATCCCTTCCCCGCCCTGGGCAGCTGGGTGTCAGCGCCGTGGGTGGGGATGGAATAGCCACCTGCATCCTGGTCAGAGAAATCCCTTCGCTTGTGACCTGTTCAAGATGTTTCTTTGCTAAAGAAATCAGGATTCGTAGTAAAATCATTGGCTGGAACTCTGGCAGCCGAGTCTGCGTGAGGACTTGGACAGGCAAAGCTGAGTGCTGAACGCAGAACTACGGGATCAGTGTTTGCCCTGCTGGATTTTGGTGTGGTTTTCTTTCTGTCCCCCGGATTCTCCCTTTTGGAACGGAAACCTTTACCCTGTACCTTTGTAGGGCAGCAGTGTTTAGTTTTCTTTTCATTTCTCCAGAGGCAAACAGAAAAGAGTTTGCCTTAAATCACAGAGGAGACTGGAGACTTGAGACTTAGACTTTTCAGCAATGCTGAAGCTTAGGACTTTGGCAACTCTTAGAGGTGGGCTAAATGCACTTTGCAGAGAGGGAGATGCGTGAGTTTCAGGGGGCAGGGGTGGAATGTTACGGGTTATATTTGATGCCCCCCAAAGCCTCATGGACCCATGGGTGGGGCTTTGGGAGGTGACAGATCATGGGGACCAGCTACTCACCTGTGCCCGCTGCTGAGTTTACAGCCAAATGTGAGGCTGGGAGGGGGGCCTGGTCGGAGGAGGCCATGGGGGCGCGGCCTGGCAGGGTCTGTCTCCCTCCTCCTCCCTTGATCCCTCTGCCACCATACCATGCGCTGTTTCCCCTCTGGGGTGTCCCTTTGCCATGCCACTCTGCCTTGGAGCCAGCCCACTGGACTGAAACCTCTACCAACAGAGCCGAAAGAAACCTGTCCTCCTTTATACTGTGTGTATTGGGTATTGTGCCTCAGCTACAAAGAAAGAGTGAAGACACTGGAATTGGTGTGTGCCGTTAGGTAAAGCAGTCAGCACAGTGCCCTGTGGTACATGGGGTCCTCCGCATATGAACTAAATCTTCCCCTCCCTTCCCCAGGTTGTGCTGCCCCAAGGCCCCTACTCTCCCAGGAAACTTTCCCTGAACTCAGGTCTACAGGCTGAGACAGGGGTAGAAGGAAACAGTCTTGTTTCCTCTGGACTGGGGCGAGGGGAAAATAAGCCCCAGTTGCAGCATTTGGCCAATCATCGCTGGGGTTTGGCTTTCCCAGGTGGGACACCAGATGACTCCTGGACCAGGCATCCCACCTCTTAGGATGGAACAGGGTGGAGGGAGAGCAAAGGGCATGGAAAAAATAAAATGTAGCTGTGTTCCTGGAGTGCGTATCTTTCAGGCAGAGGAGTGGGCTGGGCCGTTTTCTTCCTGAGCAGCTTTTGGTGGGAGCAGGGTTCCGGGTGCCACGTGGTGCCGTCACACTCCCGGCCAGGGCTTCTTGGGTCCTGCGTGGGGTGGGACCCGAGCCACATGAGAGATCCTGCAGCAGTGGACGGGGGTGGCCCTGTGGAAAAGTCGGCCAGAGTGTGCACCCTTGATCGAGCTGTGTGCAGAGTATCTTAATAAACTGACTGTGCAAGGCAGCTTTCCACCACTGTGATGGAATCCCGGAGAGAAGCAGCTTAGGCGGAGGAGGGAGGATTCTTCTTCACTCTCCACAGCCGTGGGTTCCGTCCATGGTGGCTTGGCCCACGGCCGCGGGTCTGTGGTGAGGCAGCATGTGCAGCGGACGTGCGTGTGGGCAAAGCTGCTCCCCTGTCAGCGTCCAAGACCCAAAGAGGAAGGGACAGGAGCGGGCTGGGGTCCCAACACCCCCTCTTGAGACACAGCCAATGACCCAAGCTCTGCCTCCTTGTACCCGCCTCCTGACAGTCCCAGCAGCTCTCAATAGCAGGGTCAGGCCTGGTGAGGTGGCGCACACCCGCAATCCCAGCACTCGGAGGCTGAGTCAGGAGGTTTGCTGTGAGTTCGAGGCCAGCCTGGGCTGCACAGTGAGCCCAGTAAACCAGAAAGAAGAAAGGAGACATTTAGAGTCCAGGAGCTAGAGACTGAGCTGGTACAGTAAGAGCTGGCAGAGAGAGGGAGACTTGGAACAGAGGTTAGAGAAGATTTATCCCCTTCCACCGTGAACAGGCCAAGTGCCTAAGCGACTCTTCTTAAAATAACAACCAGTCAGCCTTTCCTGGACTCAGCACAGCATGTGACTGTCATAAACAGAAGCTTGGGAACAGACCTGGAGGCTGACTCTGCTTGCTAGAAAGTGAAGCTCTTTGGACCTCCCCGGGGAGGCGGGTCTGCTTGAGCTCGTTGGAGGCTGAGATGTGGGAGTCGGAGACGCACGCACACTTAGGCAGGGAGCCAGGTCCCGGGGACAGGCGCGCTGGCTGCCACCCCGCTGGTGTCCCCGGGGCCACAGCCCGGCCTCCGCCCGGCTCTGAGCTCGGGGTTCCCCGCTTGGCCCTCGCCTTTCCGCTCAGCTCGGCCCTCTGCAGCCTGGTGCCCGTCCAGCCGAGGCACCTGCCCTTGGAGGTTGGTGATGAGCCCGGCCCTCTCTGCTCAGGGGTCCAGCGCTTGCCCAGCACGCCGAGGCCCAGGTTCCGGCCCTGAGGAGGGTCAGCTCTCCGTCGGAAACTTTGAGGCTCCTGCTCCTGCCCCTGCTGTCCGCTCCGCCCCAGCTCCACCATCGCCGCCTGCGAGGACTCCCACAGCTGCCTGCGAGGCGCTCCTGTAGGTGGCTCCTCTTCCCCAGTGCGACTGAAGATGCGCTGCCCGGGCGCTGCGGGGCAGGGTAACTGCGGGAGCTGGAGCTCCTGCATCCATCCTCGTTGGCTGCAAGCGCAGGTGACCAGGGAGAGGGCTGAGAGGTCGTCACCATGTGGGGATGTGATGAGGCCCCTCAAGGAGAGGGCCCCTGTCAGCCAGGCTGCCGCAGGCCCGCAACCCCAGCACTGGAGGCTGAGGCAGGAGGGTCACAAGTTCTAGCCCAACCTGGGCAACTTTGTGACTCAGTGAGACTGGGTCTCAATATAAAAGATGAAACCGGGCGGGGCATGCAGCTCAGTGCATGGGCACTCCGCTCCACCTCCAGCCCTGGAAAACAGCATTTCCGCTCCACAGAGGGTTCTCTGGGTTACCGCAGAGTATTGCCTGACCCTCCAGGAAACCCTCCCTGGTCTCTGTGGCTCTCCAGGGCCAGTGGGGACACGGGAGGTGTGCGACAGAGGGGACTTCTGCTGCAACCCCCCGGCCTGGATAAAACTCACCGGGGGAGGGGGGGAGATAATGCCCACAACGTGGAGGGAAAAAGCTGCAGTTTACACTGTATTTCCTTCTTTTATTTGATTTCATTTGTTTGGTTTCTTGAGACAGGGTCTTGCTGTGCAGTCCAAGCTGGCCTCAAACTGGAGGTCTTCCTGCCTCAGTCTCTCTCTCAAGTGCTGGGATTCCAGGCCAGCACTACCACACCGCCTTCATTTTTTGCCTTTATCATCACATGCCCTTTGTAACGCTGCTTACTAGTCAGACTTGTCCGTCTGAATAACACAGTATGAAAACTTTATTGAGGAGTCAGAACATCAAAGGAAACATATGATTTTAGCTCTGGATTTCAAAGGATCCACTGAATTAGAAAGTTATTTGGGCTGAGGGTGTAACTCAGAGTTAGAGCACTTGATGAAAATGCAGGAAGCCCTGGCTTCCACCCCTAGAATGAGAGAGAGAGAGAGAGAGAAGGGGAGAGAGAGAGAGAGAGAGAGAAAGACAAAGGGGGAGAGAGAGAGAGAGATCACAGTTTGCTTAGTTAACGTGTAAAATGATTTTTTCCCCCTGTTTTCTGAGACAGGGTCTCACTATGAGGTCAAGGCTGCCCTTAAACTTGCAGCGATCCTCCTGCCTCAGCCTCCCGAGTGCTGGGGTTACAGGTGTGCGCCATCATGCCCTGCTCAATGAGTGAAATGGTTTTAATGCTGGCAATTTTGCTATCCTGCCCCGAGAAGGAAGGGATTCCATGATAACGAAGAAATGGTAAGGACAAGACGATCTCTGTCTGCGCATCCCTGCAGCCACACAAAGCCGGGTGCATGTTCTAGGAAAGCCACGTGGATTTATCTGCATGCAAATTGCTGACCTGGAAAAGCGCCCAGTGCAGAGCGACATTGCCTGAGGCCCTGCGGGTAGGAAAGGTAAACTCATAGCCGGAATATGGGCCGATCGAACTCAAGACCCGCAGCCCCTTATGGGGTGAAATGAGACTGATGTCCCCAAGGTCTGGGTGCCCAGTGGCTGGCTGGCAACAGGTCAGCAGCAGCTGGATCAGCCCTGGAGTGGGCACCCCCAGCACTGGACCCAGGCCTGACCTCTGTTCCCACCGCCATGGACGCCCCGCGGTGCACTCACCGTCTCTGCCCTGGGTAGGGTGGGTGACCAGTGGCCAAAGTCAGCCGCAAATCATCCCATTGGATCTGCAGCGCCTTCCCGGGGTGAATGCACTCCGGGGGCCCCAGCGGGTAATGGCTGGAAACTCACCCTTCACATCTGTGTCTCCTTTGTTTGTTGGGTGTTTGTGGGGCTGGGGATCAAACCCACGGCCTGGCATGTACCCAGCACACGGGCTGTCACGGAGTCACACCCCAGCCCCCGATATACATCCGTATTCGCGCCTCCTTCCCGGATGTTTTTCCCCAGATCAATTTCTTTCTTCCTTCCAGGTCCTGACAGATGTGCCAAGATGCCTGGCGCTGTCCGTGACTTTGTATTTACCTAAGTGAATGACGGGGCTCCCTGCCTGGTGCCTGCCCAATAAGAGCTGTCTTTCAGGCCAGGCCTTGAGAGGGTATGTTTGTGTATTTGAGACATGGTTTCACTTTCAAGTTCAGGCTGGCCTTGCACTCACTATGTAGCCCAGGCTGGCCTTGAACCGATGGTGATCCTCCCGCCTCAGCTTTCTGAGTGCTGCTCTTTGCTCTTTAGCTCTTAATCCACAGTGTGCTTCCTGCCACCATTCAACACCCACCGCAGTAATCCGACAGCCGGAGAAGCAGGGCTTTAGCCCTGGACAGGGCATCCAGGCCCTGAAGCCCGGCGTCCACCCAACCTTCCTCATCCTTGCCTTGTCTTTACTTGTGAAGTTTATCGTGCGCAGGTCATGGAGCTCACACCTGTGGAGTGTGTGTGCACGTAGGCGCTGGGATGGTTAATCCACTTTCTTATGTAATCCTTCCGGGACCAGAAAGGAAGATATGGGAAGTTCAGAGAGTTAGTCCAGTGCTCAGGTTCGCACGGCTGGGGAGGTCTGAGCCTAGGACCGTGCGTACCAAAGCCAGTCGTGATACAATGCTTTATATTCTAGAAAGTTGCTTACAACAGAACCATGGCCTTCCTGGGAAAACACTTCCTGAAACACGGCCTGGAGCAGCCAGGGGTGAGACTGTCCGAGCAGACTTCTTGCTGCTGAAGGATCCCCGAGTCCCCATCAGAACAGCCTGCAGGCTCCCCGAATACAAGGGGCCGGCTCGCAGCCACTGCTCCCACGCTGCAGCCCGGAGCACCGGGCCGGTGGCTCAGATTGTGTCTGATTGGTTGTTTCCAGGTCGCTGGCTGCCAGGAGGCGCGGACGGCTTCCCAGCCCCCGCCGGGGCTCCAAAAGCCGGGCTCCTCCGCCCCATTCAACCTTGTAGGTATCGCTTTGTCCCAGCCCTCCCTGTGCCCTGGGTGAGAATGATGCCTGGTCTTCAGCAGCCCTTCTGGGCTTACTGATCCTTCCACAAAGCAGAGAGAAAGAGGAAGTTTAACATGAACACAGCCTGGAAACTGGCGTGCCTTCCGGGAAGCAGCCAAAAAGGAGAATGAAGCTCTTTTTTTTTTTTTTAATGGGTAATGGGGAGCCCAGGAGCTTCGCATGGAGCTACACCCCCTCTTACCCCCCTTTTCTTTTTTATTTGGAGGCAGGATCTTTCATATTAAGTGCCTAGGCTGGGCACAAATTTGTGATCCTCCTGCCTCAGCCTCCCAGAGTGCTGGGGTTAGAAGAGCACCACCACACCTGGCTGGAATAAAGCTGCTTTTTCCCAAGAGCCAAAGGCTTCCATTGTTTTCAGTATCTGCTGCACAGGTCCGCCTGACTCAGGGAGATGGCGGGTGCTGGTGGTTTCGCGGGAAAGCCAGGCACAGCACCTTTGGGGCTTGGAGGACGCTGCCACAGCAAGCTCTGCTGCTCGGGGTGCAGCCTCTGCTCCCCAGCCAGCGCCGCTCAGCTCTCCTCCTCTGGCGTTACTTCTCGTCTCTGAGCTGCGGATTTCTGTCTACGAGAAAGGAGGCGACGATGCTGGCTTCAGAGCACTCGATCGTCCCTCCAGCCTCCGCCGTGCGCTCATTTCTCCCCGACAAGCCAGGCACCCGCCGCTTCCTTGGAGACAGTGGAGAAGTCCGAGCTCGGTGTGGAGCCTGCAGTGCAGGGGAGCAGCGGGTGACGGGGAGCAGAGTGCAGCGACACAGGCGAGGTCTAGGGGCTGGGAGGGGGGACTGCCTCCGGTGCGGAAGTCCCGAGGAAGCAGGTGTCGGCCAGGCGAAGCGAGGCAGCAGTAGCCCTAGGAGTGGGGCAGGAAGGTCTGGGGTGAAGGGAGTTACATATATACAGAGGCCCTGGATTTAACCCCCAGTAACACACACACACGCACACGCGCGCACACACACACACACACACACACACACACAGGTGGGGAGGATGAGTCTGCCCAGGAGACAGGTGACCCGTGACAAGCTGTGATGAAAGCACCACGGGGGCTCAGAGCAGGGGTGCCCCAGCTGCCGCTGAGTGAGGGCTGGAGGGTGGGGAGACGCCCCTGGTCTCCGGCACATACGGGGCCTTAGCGTGAGTCAGGAGGGTGTCTAGATACCTGATGCCAACTGCAGTGGTGCCTTAAACCTCAGCCATTTCTGCGTCATCTTAAGAATATCCCCACTGTTGATGGGAATGCAGACTCTACAACCGTTACGGGAATCTGTGTGGGGACCTCTCAAAGAACCTCCATTAGCAATTCCATACCACCCAGCCACCCCCTGCTAGGTATCATCTCCAAAGGCCCAAGGCATCATACTCCAGCAATACATACATACCAGGGTTTATAGCAGCACAACTCGTAATAACTCAGTCCTGGAAGCGGCCTGTACAGCCCTCCACAGATGACTCTATAAAGAAAATGTGGTATCCATATATAGTGGAATACTACTCAGCTATAAAGAATGATGAACCTGAGACATTTGCAGGAAAATAGATGCCTCTAGAAAATACAATGTTGAGTGACATAAACCAGATGCACAAGCTTAACCACCACGTGGGATGTCTCATTTGAGTGAGGCAAAGTACAAAGAGATGGACAAAGGATGGACAGAAAGGGACAAGGGGATGGGTCTCCTGCAGTGGGAAAGGGTCCAAGGAAACAAGCGTGAGGGGTGAGGAGTGAGGAGGAGGGGAAGCTGAGACAGTGGTATCAACAGGAATGAGAAAGGAGATAGGGGAGCTGGAGAGGAGGGAGGAGAGGAGGGGGAGGGAAGGGGATTAAAATAAAAGAAACATGCTGCAACATGGACATGTAACCATTCCCCATGATGACTGTAAACCACACGAACTGCAAACATGTACACATAAAGTAAAAATTTAAAAAAATCTGCAGTAAGCCAGGCATGGTGGCACACACCTATAAGCCCAGCACTTAGGAGGCTGAGGCAGGAGGATCACTATGAGTTCAAGGGCAGCCTGGGCTACATAGTGAGTTCAAGCCCAGCCTGAACTACAGAGTGAGATCCTGTCTCAAAAAACAAAATAAAAACAAAGTATCAGTAGTAGCCTCCTAATATTTATTTAATTTTTTTTCTTTAAATTTACTGCATTGTTTTGTTTGTTTTATGAGACAGGATCTCACTTTGTAGTGAATGCTGGCCTTGAACTCGAAGTGATTGTTCTGCCTCAGTCTCCCGAGTGCTGGAATTATAGGCGTGGGCCACCACACCCGGCTCAAATTTACTCCATTTTTAAAATCATAGACATTTATTTTGAAAAGAAACTTCCTATCATTGATTGCCCCATTATTCACACTAATGGTCAAAGAAATAGCGTTTAAATAATTTTTTAGAAAGCTTTCTAGGTATGGTGGGTACCCTGGCTGGAACTCAGGGCCTTCCCCACGCTAGGCGAGAGCTCCACCCTTGAGCTCAGCCGCAGCCCTGGACGCTGGCTGCGCCCCATTTCGCGGGGTCCCAGGACCCCGCAGCTGTGGGACTCCCTTCTGTCGCCGCGGCCCTTTCCTCCAGGGACGAAGAGGCTCAGGACGCGCAGACCAGGACGCGGAGAGAGGCGGCGCAGGGGACGGGAGCGAGGCAGGACAGCGGGGAAGGCTCTCTTTTCCCATGTCCACCGTCACGGTCGGCCTCGTCCGGCTCGATGGGCGCCCCAAGCACCCGCAAGGAAAGAATTAAAGGTCCAGAGGAATGGAGGGATTCGGAGACGCTTCCGTCCTTGACGCGGGCGGGGGAAGGGGAGGGAGGCGGAGGGACACGGAAAGGACAGACGTGTTATGCAGACTCTCTTCAGAGTCTTAGTTTCGCTTTATATTTTTAGCAAGTAGAATTAAGATAACAGTCTACTTGGGAGTGATAATCTAGATTAGAAATTTGAATTACATTGAAATTTCATGAGGTTATCCATTAATAACAAAGAATGACCGTACTGAGACGTACCAGCGCTGAGCTCTCCCGCGCACAGGTAAAAATGCGGCCGTGCTGGCGACAGTGACTCTTTGGCGCCCTCTGCTGTTTCAGCGGCCACATCAAGCACCTGCGCGTCTCTGCGAGAGCCGCTCTCCGAATCTCCTACACAACAAACCACCGCCTTTACCAGAGCGGCTGACGACTTGGAACCGCGTGGACAGAAACGCTCAATTTCATTCAGCAACGACGAGGTTCTGAGCATTACCTCAAGCGAGCACATCAAAAAGATCGCCCCAAACAAGCCAAAGACTCTAAGCGGAAATCCACATGAGATGAGACGTTTCACAATTTTCAACCTAGATGTTTTGCCTTCCATGCGATGATATTGATTCCAGACATACCTGCCTTCTTTGGGAAGTTTTACAATGTTCTTTCTGCGGGGGTGCAGCTTGGTGGCAGAGCACGTGCTTAGCATATGCAAGGCCCTGGATTATTTTTTTTTTCAGAACACAAACATTTTTAATATTATTTTATCAGATTCTCAAATGATAGGTTAGAGATATATTTAGAAAATTTTCAGCAGTACTGGTTATACAGGGTCTTGCTATGTATCCCAGGCTGGCCTCGAACTCTTGGTGATCTTCCTGCCTCAGCCTCCTGAGTGCTGTTATTATACAGGCATACACCACCACGTCCAGTTTAAAACAAAATAATTTTAATAGCACATTCAAACTAAAATTGAATGCATTCAAATAAAACTATATTGCAATTATTTAAATTAGATTTAAGTGAATTAAGCTTTACATTTTCATTGGAAAGTCCTAAAGAAATTAGAATTTAAATTAAACTGAATTTCAATTTCAATTAAGGAAAACTCAAAACCATCAGGACACCAAATCAGAAGTTTTCTGCAACTCTCACTGCTGATAAAATCCTGAAACTGACTCCGGACTGGAAGCCCCAGGTGCAGCCCAGCCGGCTCAGCTTATATGAGGGTTTTAATGATATCGAGAAAGCAGTCGGAGAAGAATGAAGGAAAGGATTATAATGATAAAATTCAATGAGTGGTAGCTCAGAATTGAAAAGCAATAGCTATAGTCATAAGATCATGAGAAGGAAAAGAAAGTTAAATGATTTAAACCAGAAACACAATAAAAATGGCCTAAACAATGGCAGATCAGAAATTATGTAGGAATTAAGAAAAATAATGCACTGAAAGCTTTTCATCTGAAATGCTGAATTTACAAAGTATATATATATATATATATATATATATATATATATTGTCTTTGTGAGACAGGGTCTCACTATGTAGTCCAGGCTGGCCTTGAACTCACTTTGTAGCCCAGGCTAACCTCGAACTTGTGACGATCTTCCTGCCTCAGCCTCCCGAGTGCTGGGATTACAGTCATGCACCACCACACCCAGCCTTTACAAAGTTCAATAAGAAATCCCTGTCATTACCTATACAAGCCGACAATCGACGGAGCCATTGTGTTTAGTAAATTGACTAAGGCCATCTTCCAGGGTGCCTGGTGCCTGCTCCAGGTAAGAGCTGCGGTGCTCACACATTTCCTTTGCACAAGGCACCCCCCCCACAAACTCTTCACAGGAGTGTAGTGCTTCACGGTTTAACATCTCTTTTTCTCCCTTTCAAAAGTGTTGCAGTGCTGGGGATGGAAGCAGAGCTGGTGCGTGCTAGGCAAGTGCCCTACGCTTGAGCTACACCCCAGCCTCTTTGCTTGTCATACTGATAGTGTCTTGCCAGTTTGGCCACGCATGACTCATTCTCGTAATCCTCCTGCCTCAGCCTTCTGAGTAGCTGGGATTATAAGTGTGTGCCACAGCACACAGCTTAAACTCTTTTTCCCACAGAATGTCACTTGACATACATAGAGTTTATCTTGCTTTACAGTTAGGCAAGCTCTCAACCTCCAGTTTTGAATGTTAGAAACTTCCGAGCTCTCCTTTCGGCCGAAGACGTGTGTATTTACAGGAACCTGTGATTTAACACTACGTTGTTTAATCAAACCCACGAATCTCATTAATTTTTTGGGGGGGGTTTTACCAGGAATCGAACTCAGGGCCTCATGCTTGCCAGGTAGGCGCTGTGCCGCTGAACTCTTGGTGGATCTATCCCCGGCCCTCAAGAATTCGTTCAGTAGCACACGACTCCTCTCTGCCGTCATAGCATTTGATGGAATGGCTTTTTTTCTTTGTTTTTGAGATAGGTTCTCACTATGTAGCCCAGGCTGGTCTTGAACTTGTGGCGATCCTCCTGCCTCAGCCTCTCCAGTGCTGGTGTTCCAGGCATGAGCCACCGAGCCCTGCCACTGAATGGCTTTGGGCTAGCAGTCAACATTTATGGAGGGACCACCGTGCGTGCTGATCCACGGCCCGGCCTCAGGCCTCGCCTGCACCGGACACCTGAAGGGGACGCAGCTCCTCATCGCCGCCCGGGGAGAGGGTTTCCGACCCTCGGCCTCCTGGCTTGCACCCCGAGATCCCGGCCGGCCGCCCTCGGTTGCGCGCTTTGCACGCAGCGG